GTAATAGAAATGAAAAGGGCGTGGTATCTGTTTATTAAATATGAACAATCATTTGTTGAACTGATAGTATGGCATAAAGTAATGGATATTTCTCAAAAAAGTGTCCCATTTTGGATACAGTGACGTTAACTCTTGTTGTGTTGAGGTTTATGGGATAAAAACCTAAGTAGGTTTGAGACAAACTTGATATGACATGTTTCGCTGTTCATTTAATTAGTTTGTGTCAAGACCAATTGAGGTTTGAAATTACTCTATTTACGTAGGTTATAATTTCAGATTTAAAAATTACATTTTGTTCTCGTCAGTTTGAAAAGCATGTCATACATGAATATAAGATTTAAGCGTATGTTATGGAGTCTGTAGATGTCGCAACAGTCCGATGGAACATACCTCAATAATATGTTGTCCTCCAGGTACTCACTCATTCTCATAATTTCATTCTCTGTGTATTTCATCTTGGCCTTTTCACCAAACAATATCCCCATAAACGTTTACAGTCATATTACCTACAACGAATTCTCCTTTCTAAAAGATATCTTTCATAATCGAAGAGTGCGTTCCTTAAGCTTATCTTTGTATGACGTTCGTTGGTGTATACAGAGGAAAAGACAAAAGTTCTAACAGAAGAGACGGTTCCAGGAAAAGATGCTCAAGAGTGATCGAAATAACTTGTGTGTTCGTCTAAATCTACATTTCATTAATGCAATATCTGGGGTGTACAGACTGTGAACCTCATTTAATGGTAAAACAGTAGTAGTACGATTTTCGGATACTGGCTTTGTAAAGATATTAGTAGAGCTAGCGATCAACCGTATTGTTAAACATTTGCCGGAGGTTAGTGAACATATATGTAAGAGTGATATGCGTGAATGACATAATGTTCGTTTCCTTACGAACAGTTGATCATGGGTAGGTAGAGGTTCCCCAACGAGTGTTGGTTGGTTGTCATTTTTATACATAACTCTGGTTCGTTCTTTTTCAAATTGCATAAAGACAATAAGTTTACGCCTGTCGTCATAATTAGCGTCCAGGGTGTCAAGTAGTTTGTTTTAAAACGTGTAGTTGTTTGATGCTCAGGTTTTGGAATATTTAGTTGCTTGAAGTTTGTATTTGTCTGGTAAATAGATTTTAGGGTTTGTCTTCTTCTTTGTTTAGGACTTTATAATGTGTAGTCTCCAGGTTTTAGAATGTGTGGTTATTTGGTATATGAGTGTTTTTTCATTTGCTTTGTGAACATCTAGTGTTTTTGTTTTACATTTTAATTTTCCTGGTGTTAAGGTAAAGATCATCACGATTCACTAGATATATACTGAAGAGGAAAAGAAATACAGAGCAAGAACAAAAGCTTTCTATCGTCGATTGACTGCACTTAAATAATAAAACTCGATCAGATGACTATCCTGCACACTACACCAAGTGTATAGAGTCACTCAATCATGTACTGTACTGTGACTCATAAAGAAATATAGTAAACAAAACGCGCTGAACAATGTTAAATCGTCGGCAATAAAAACCTCGTCATATCGCTTGTTACTCCTGACAGATACACATTAGTTTCCGCAATTTCAACTTAATTTTATTTTTCTTTACTGAAGGTACGACTGACAGAAGTTCAGAGGGAAAAGCAATTGCATTACTATTGCAAGGTCAAAGATAACAACAGTTATGTTAAGCATGTTGAGTTAATGATTCTACCATAGAGTCTCTTGTCAGACGTTTGTATTTGTCGACCGACTGCAATCAGGATGTCCACGCGAGACGTATCCACGTCAAGACAGGACCAAATATTTTTTCTGCATGTTCGCTATCGTCACCTTACAGCTGATGAAACAGCTCGTAATACGGTTTGAATTCATAATCTTTTCATTCATCCCAAAACTGTGATAATTTGATTACGCGAGGCTTGTCTGTCGGCATGTCGTCCTTACCCTCACTCGTGTACGTCACATGCGTCATATGGCTGGGTTGGCGCCTCATGTTCCGTGACCATATCCAGTACAGCAGTGGAGTAGATGTTTTCACATATGAGTCCCTGTTTACGCTTTTGCGACCTAACGGTTGACGTCCTCGATACCGTCGTCGTGTGGAACGCTTCTGGAGACGAATCCCTCATGTGCATAATCATCTTTGATTGAATTGTAGGACTACTAAACAGCTGTCATGCACCCGATGCAAATGTGGCACCAGATATCGATTTCCATTATTATCTTCATATGAACTGCAAGTTATAAACAATTTTGTTTAAAAACTTCAGATATTTTGGTAATTTGTTTCGAAAAGATGATTCGCCACAGCCGTTTACAAATCTAATGCATAAATCCTAAAACCATGCTTCAAATTATAATAAAAAAATCCGCTGCTTTTCCTTTTTCATGCAGTATATTGATGTCAATAATGATTTTGTTCTAAATATCTTTCATGGCGGGTATCGTCGATGAAGTAGGGGACGATTATATTTACTAAACACAGAGTCATATTCTTTTTATGCTTTTCGTTTGCTTTTTGTTTTTCAAAAATGATCAGTTACCTAGAGTTACTTAGAGTTAGTGTCCAGGAGACAGGACCTGTATAGGTCCTCTCCACTGGACTCGATCGTTGTATCAGTTACTTAGAGTTAGTGTCCAGAAGACAGGACCTGTATAGGTCCTCTCCTCTGGACTCGATCGTTGTGTCGCATCGAAATTGAAGTCCGCTTTAAATCGATGATCTAAAGTAATGTAATATTTCCTGATTTTTCCAACATTTATCTAGTCAATTAGTAAATGAATTTAAGGATCGTACGTTACCACTTTCGATGGTAAATTATTCTCAATGCTCAACACTCTAACTGAAAAATAGTTCTTTCTTTTCGATGTTAAAGTCTATTGTGGGTTTATCGTAAAAAAGTGGTCTCTGATGCTGTTTATTTCCGTTAAATTGACTCACATTTGATGTATGCCTAGCTGTTGTAAATTCTCGATATCCCTGTATTATCTGGAGTATTTAAATCATTTCCGCTCGGTGCCAATCTATACGATAGTGTAAGTAACTTTAGATAGGATAGGTTTTGAAAACCAGGAAGCTGTTTGTTGCCTCCTTTATGTTCCCCTTCTAATTTGTCTATGGAGACCATACAGAACATGAAAAATCTTATATAATGGGATGAATGTTTCTTCGTCCAGGTGTTGGAAGCTTCTACGGATGACTGCGGCCATGGCGTTTGCTTACCCGATTGTTATACAGATATGTTGATCGAACTCGAGTTGGTTGTCAGTAATGACTCCTGTGTCTTTTTCGGTATCTGTTGACTGGAGGATATCTTTCTGTAAACGGTATGATGTTACATTATTTTCTGGTCCATGTTTTTGTCTATGCATACGGTTACATTTATTTGTATGAAATTTGAGCAGCCAGGTATCGGCCCATTCTTGAATTCTGTATGCCTTCTTGAGTTGGAATTACGGTTTTGCTGACATTCGAATAATTATCTTGTTTTTATTACACGATTTCCCTAGACCTTAAGGTTAATGTGTAAAGGGATATCGATTCATTGTTCTTGAACTAGTGCACAATCTTCATAGTGTTTTTCCTTTGTTCAAGGGCAAATACAAACCGAGAATGTCGTTTTTGACAAAAGCAGGCATGTTGGACGAGTGAGCTGCTTCTGTCCTGCCCTTAATTTAAATATGTACAGCTGTATCTAATTTAGGTTTTTTTTATGGTATATACTTCAATAAAAATTAAAGCCATATTGAACATATCGATAATAGTGGTATATTGATTTATTAACATTTATAAACCTTAACATCACGTGTGCAATAATATTTCTGCTACATATTATGGAATGATCATTAACAAATATGACCTCAACATGATATATATTCGATATCTTCTTGAAAAGAATTCCTCAGGTTTATGTTATATAATGTTGTGATATAAGTGAAGAATAGCAGCTATGGAGAAAATTAAAGTTGCTAAGACAATACATTGGTACCAATGCAATAAAATCTGTCGCATTGTCATGAGAAGATTTTTCATATTTATATTGTATAAGGATCCATTGTTATGAAGTGCAAATGGCTACCAACTTATAAACTGTTGTTACCTGGTCATATTTAAGTGTGATAGTAGATTTAAGTTTAACCGTTATTATGTAAACATATCTGGGGTGAAATATAGAAAGGGGTCATACGGATTATATTAATAATTATGTAATTATAAAAACATATCAAATGTCAAATGAGCATGTGTATCGTATGCATGTATATGTATGCTAGGTAGGTTGCCAGTTGATGCTAATTGACACAAAGTCGGATTTCATCAAACAGGCTTTTTTATATTATTTAAATTGTTTTGAATCCGTCTGCATTTTTTTTCATTTTAAACGGACTGTTCGAATATTGGTTTGACCTAGTCCTATTATACAAGCAGTAAATCGATAACTTAGAGGAACACATTTGCGTATTAAAACGTTGCTGTTGGCTAATACCATCGACCTTTTTTTTGTTTTTGTAAACACTTACCAATTGAAGAATATACTAATAGAAATATTGTCATTTTGCATATCTTTATAATGAAATTGCATGGTCACTTTTCAAAAATAAATGTATTTAAAGCCACACTTTTTTCAAATATTAACGCCATCATCCGTAATTATTTAATTTATCATATATTTGTATAAATATCAATATTATATCATTAAACCAATTCAAATAAGTGATAAAACTATATGCCCCATTTGTAAAGTTGAAAAACAGTGATTAACTCAGTTTCCCAGCGTATATCAATAAAAGAATGCGTGTCCTTTTTATAACGGACAATAGTACTGCAAGTCCCATTGTATAGATATATCAATTATGATAATGTGTATATAATAACCATTGTTAAGCACTATCTATAAGGTCATACATCTATATACAATTGTACCTCAAAACTTAAAAACAAACTCACGATATCAATTGAATTTTCACGCGATGATTTAATAATGAATCTGACAAACAAAATATATAAGAGAAACACAGTTAACTTTAAATATATTTAATTTGCGACAATCATGAAATAAGCCATTCAAACTTATTTAAATCACTCTCGTTGGTTCGAACGGAAAAGTGCACGGTTCCTAATGTGGGAGGAAACCGGAGTACCCGGAGAAAACCCACGTGGTCGGGCAGGTGACCCAATACCTTTTCACGGCCGATCAGGGAATCCAACCCCGGTCGTCTTGGTAAAAGACGAGTGTGCAATTCACTGCACCAACCGACCACCCATAAGAAACAGTTGGAAGTAGTGTCACTAACACAGGTCACATGGTGTCTTCACTAGCACAACTTCCATACATTGTCCAATTATAAAGTAGTCCACGTATAAGGCAGTGCTGTATCACCTCCAACCTAAATAACAAATTGAACGTAATGATTCAACCATGACATGTAAAACATATGAAAGATATTGGGGATGGTCGGTATGTATGTATAGCAGACACTCCTGAATATATTGTATGTTTGAATCGAAATCATATGATTTATATAATCGCGTAAAAGCTACCAGATAGAAAATATTTTCTTAAGTTAGAATATAAATAATTTGAAAACGAAGTAAAACTTAAAGATACGATGTACTGGTAATGCCTGTTTATCATGCTGTACTTGAACGTTCCAGTACCAACTGTGAGCATTACAAACAGTCTGATTTGAATTTATAAAACGTTTATCTCCTTTCCTTTTTTAACTAGTTTTATTTTTTCTATATTATCATTTTTTTGTCATTTATCTTGCCTATTATATAAAAATTTTATGGAATTCCACTCTGGTAAAAAAAAAATCATATGATGAAATCAAATGATAAATATTGGTTTCTTCAGGAATACTCTTATTGATTTTGTTTATAAATAAGGATTTGCCTCTTTTTTTTTTGGCATTCTGGTATAAATATATATATATCTTACATAAGTATTTGTGAATCAGACTGAGTTGCTGTATTTGCCATGGCTTGCTCCGTTAAACCTGTCTATAATCTATCTGCGCTTTTACCGTTATGGTAGTTACATCAATACGTTTCAACCTGCAGTGACACATCCATTAACATACTAACCTTTATAATAATTCTCAAACATTCCTGAATAAAAAAAATATTTTGAATAAAAGAACGCATTTGTCGAAATATCAGCCAAACTAATCGAAATGTTCATCCAATTGTATTGAAATATTGTATTACGATATGATAGAATAGGAGATATTAAATGTTGGTTTACCTTACATGTTATCTATATAAAGCAGATATCTTTTAAATAATTACCATAAAATGAAAATAATTAGAAGATATACATACTGGCATGAAAATGATCAAGCTCATGTGATTTTGAACCCACGAAGATACTTCCAGCCGAGTAACCGAAACACTGTCAACAACAACAAAAATGATAATATCAACATGGTAGGTGCATCACATTACACTAAAAGGCAGCCACAACTGCTTTCAGTGGATTCCATGAAAACGTACTAGTTCAAATGACATATTATTAGAATTATAACTGAACACAAGCTTCAGCGAATCGATAATGTAACTTCAGTAAAAATGATCAGGAACACCAATACATCTATTGTGTGATTGCAGATTTACAGAATTAATATGGGTTAATACCGAACAATTGTCTTCCTATATCAGACTGACGAAAAAGGTAAAATATGTTTAGATTAGCTGAACATGATAACATTATAAATCAAATATGTAACCTATTTACTTTTCAATCTAAATAGCTAACATAGATGGCAAGGCAATTTACAGGATTTAGTTTTTTGTATTATATAGCAAAAATACCAAAGCAACTGAAAAAGCACGGCAGACATTATATTAAGAACACAAAACAAATTATTTCATTTTATTAATTTTATTTTTTATTTTTTCAAAATTTAATATCAATTATATAGTCAAGATATGTGTTTGTCTGTAATAAACGAAAAATTATGAAATAATGTGGATGATTTTTTGTATATCTATGGTATGTTTATGTTTGGTGAAGGTAATATTAAGACAATGTTAACCGATCACCATTACAAAACTAATAATGATTGAAATTATGATAAATGGTAATGTTGTATATTGCTGTTTTCTAACCTGACAAGAAGTTGCAAATATAAATACAGTACATGTTTAAATTAGATGGTGAAAAACAAAATAATAAAATAAAGTATCAATGGTGAAGCAATATAAATGAAAATATTGATGCGAAACTGTAATAAATACTTCTCTTTTACTGTTAAATGCAATAACATGATATGTAAACAAGTGGTGCGGAGATTGATGTGTGGAGAACATGAATGTGGTATTTTAAAGTTCCTTTTTTTATATGATACAGTAAATGAGGAATCCGAGAGGTCATCAACCCTTGACTTCCTTCCTTTCAAAAGCCGAGGGAATTCAATTATAGAAGACAAAAATAACCTTTTTTTGTACGGGTTTTGCTCGTTCGTTTAAGAAAGGATACATGCATTATAGATAGTCATGCATTGAATTTAAGGTAATTTAAGTATTATCATTGCATTAACAAACATTAACTTCATTCTCACTCTTTATGCGGGTCTTTAGCAACCTCAATCTCATCCTATGTGTGCTTCTATATCAACTTCATTCACACTTTGTATATGTGTATAATGTTTCAATATACTCTCGACCTTTATGTGTGTCTGAATCAATTCCATTTACACTCTGTATATCAATTTACATGTGTCTGTATGTATTAATTTTATTCTCATTCTATGCGTATGTTTGTATGTATCAATTTTATTCTCATTCTATATGTATGTTTGTATGTATCGATTTTATTCTCATTCTATATGTATGTTTGTATGTATCGATTTCATTTCACCCTTTATTTGACTCCTTATGTATCATCTACATTCTTACCTTTCGTGTGTGTCTATATAGATTTCGTGTCGGCCTTTATGTGTGCTATGATGAAGATCAGATTTCACACTTGCTGACAGCTAAACCGTATTGACATTTTGATTTGGTAGAACTGAAAGAAAAAAATTAAGTATCATTGACTTTTTGCATAGATTATATTATTGTGTTTTTAGCATTAAATACTTTAGTATATACCGATTTGAACATCTCAATATCCTTCCCCGGCCCATTTCACACAATCATTACGGGAAACCCGTTATTTTGTTAAATCACTTATGTAGGAACGTTAAAGAATAAACCTTATATATCCTTAGCGAGGTGTGTTAACTGCGTGCGGTGAGTATCGCAGATCCTGTCTGTAGCCTCTACTGGGGTTACATTTAATTCCTGTATTAATAACAACAGCTATGAACATTGGTTTTGCGAGGACGTAAAACCCACAACAGACAGATAAATACAAAGTTTATGATTTTATCTTTGTACTTCTACAATTCGCACAATTTGTTTATGACTGTATGTTTTCTTACGCTCACCAGGTGACCCTGTTGATCTTATTTTCGTTGATGGAATGTAGAGACGATATTTTTTTTTGTATATCTAAAGTTAATGTTAATATCATTACCATATGATGGAACGTATTCCATATCACATTTTGAAAAACAAAATCATTCCAAGTGCCTTCCTCGACCGGCTTTATATTGAAACAACATGCTTATACAGTCATATGCTTATATGCAACATGGTATTTCAAAATAAAACACACACGCCCAAGTTTATATTTAGGTGAGTATTTATTATCTGGTATCTTGAACGTATATTAAAGACTCAAAAGTTTCAAAACTATGTAAAATACCAAGAAAAAGTATAAGATCTTACCATAATTTAGATTGTTTCATCCAGCTCCGTTCGAAGAGGGCTTCTTTGCAGGTACCAAATACAAAGTTAATTTACATGATTGCATCTTCATATATTTATGAACACAGATGCATTAATGCTTAAGATTTTTTTGATTTTTTTTAATAAGAGTTGCATATCTGTTTTGCTATTGATCATTCAGAGATGTGGATAATGAATGTTTCTGTAATTTGTATTATGTGTCATTGTAGTCTATTTTGAGTGTAATACTTTTGGTCAAACATGCAATTCACACTATAAATATAAAGTCTTTAAACGATATCGCTATACCAGATAACAATATGACAAACACTGAAATTGCATATGGAGTCATACTTACCGCTCTGTAAACCCACACATTTGCCGGGAAGACTTCTTGTAAAGGCGCAAATGACTGTGTTTCCGTTTAACAATGTTAACAGAAATACATAAATGATGATGATGATGATGATGATGATGAAATTATTTGATTTGGCAATGAAAAAGTCAATTCCATAAAATATTACACTTTTTCTCGGGTCATAAAGCAGATGAAGCACAATTCTTAACAATCCTTATTTGAAACAAAATTATTTTGGTGGGGTGGTGCAAGTTAATTATTATTTGAAATATCTTCAAGATAAAAGCAAAACCATTGAATTTCAAACAAAGCTAAATAAAGGGAAAGAATTAAAAACGATAAATAAATGTTAATACATGATCGTATATTTCTTACCGTCTTGTAAAGTATCGTTCTTTCTTTGCACCGTCACGGTAATCCCTTCCAAAATGACGATAAACAATATCATAACAACATGTACATTAGCTGAAAAAAAATGCAATACTATTAGCGATTCAAACCTACCGTTTATTATGTTTAATACCATTGACAACGCCGACACGTCATTGCTTCTTTTCTTTCCGGGTTGTCGGTTACACTGAACTTTCTAAATGGTGACAGCATGATATGTGAGCTTAAACAAAGGTTGTCGTTTGTTTATTCAATGCGTGTTATAATCACTGAAAGAAAAACACTTTTATCTTATACAAACCGAATCGTTGACTCTGAAAATAAGTAATTACTAAAACTTAAACGATGAAATGGAAAGGACGATCTTTGCATATGATGATGCTTTAAACAGCATTTTTTATACAAATAAAGGGTCGAAATAAACCTCGCATTCAAATAGCATTTTGAGATTTCTTATTTGTCAAATATTAAATGCTAAATCAGTCCTTTCAACATGCCAACTTGTTTAATATATATTCGTATGTTAGAAATAAAACCATTGGTAAAATAACACTTACCAAACACCATATTCATAGTCATAATGATGTGCGCCTTCTGAAAAAAAATCGAATCATTAACTTACCTGACATTTTTGTTGTTATTGTACTAGGAGGTGTAGACACTGTAGTATGTAACGAAGACAAGCTTGAAGTCGTTGCAGGAACGGTGGATGATCCAATGGATTCAGTAGTCACTGAAACATCGTAAAATCATGCTCCAAATACATGTTCGATACAGTAATCCGTGCATGGTAATGTGAATAGTATGAACAAGTTATCCTTCCTTAGTTTAGTATTTTTCATGAATTTACTAAATAAATCACGATGCAACATGCCGTACATGTTACTTTTTGAAGTAGTTATCCAGATATATAAGCTGTATTGTCGTCTCTGCCACTTATATATTTACAACATGGCATGTACAAAAGAAGTATGCCATTAACTTAATTGGCAAGCTCTAGCGTGTACTATAAAAAATATACGTTTATACAGCCAATCTCATTTGCATGCAATTGCAAATGTTTAGGATTTGTTTTTTAAAATATTAAAGTGTCTGCAGAGCTGCATTTAGAAACTTACCTCGTCCTCCTTCACAATATTCGATTTGCTGGAATACTAGTTGAGGGGTATTGTAAGTATTAGAATATATAGTAACCCTCAACTTTACACCAGTTGTATTTTTCAGATCCTCATTTATGGTGGCATTATCTGCAGGAAGTCCGTCAACCTGTGAGGAAAACATATTTGTAATTGTAATGGCGATTCATTTTTAGGCTATAATTTCATGAAAAACGCGTCAACAGTGTAGCGGTGATGGTCTAGGCAATACTACATTATAACCGGATGAACAGTCAGAAGATCGAGTACAAACATGGTATGTGTCCGTTCATTCGAGATAAAATAATCGAGACCTTAAATATAATTAGAAATAAAATATACCTGATGGTCATAGAGAGGAGAGCGAATGTTGTTGTTTTCGTCTAAAACAGCGAGCTCCATATTTTCCAATTGCAATGCATTGGCCTTGAATCGCAAAAATGCAACCTCGCCTGTACTAGCTGTGATTTCATAGGTAACTACTGCGCGCTGCTGATTTGGAGAAAAGTCAAGTCCTTTTACGCTTCCGTTGATAGTTTTTACGGTAACTATTTCCGGATTTTCAACAGAGATAGTTTTGACGTAACATTCTGAAAATAAAGATGAAAGTAAATCAGAAACGCTACTATTGTGAATACTTTACAAACGACAGCAAGACAGGACTCGTAACTTATAAAACAAAAATACAACCGAATATCAATACATTGTTTTAATATCAAACCCACTGCAGTTATATGTGGCGTAATTATTATCAAAGTTATAGATCATTGATTCTTTGGTAAAATTGAATACATTGAGTACAGTTTCGCACAATTGATATTTGTTACCTGAAACGTTTTAAAGAAAAATGTTACAAATATTTAGGAACAAAGACCTTTTCACAGTGACTTTAAAAAATGTTTTTTTTATTCACGTTTTTAAAACATTTGCATAGCAAATCAAAAGAATACCCTTACAACATTAACTTTGACGAGTTGTCAGTGTTTAGCAAGTAATGAGAAATATGATCATATTTATTTGTAATATCTATATAAGCTTTCAAAGTTATCTGTCGATAACACAATACGATTGACAGGAAAATACGGACATTTAAATAATGTCAAATTTACATTAAAAGGCTACTTGAAAGTTTGGCCCCTGTATTTTTGTAGCAAATACTGATTTATCATATGATAAGTTCACATCAATATACAGTAATGCAACCTAAATCAAATTAAGCAACAGCACTGTTTGGCAAAACATAAATAATGACTATCATAAAAGTCAATCTGATTGCCTGTTGGTGGACAAGATGGCCAATCGACTGTGAAGTCAGATGAAATGATTCAACACCCACTGTTTTTCGTGAATAACTCATAATACGGTTATGAATACCTGGTGGCGTAGTCGTAGTATGCGTCGGACTTGTACTTATTGGTGGCGATGTTGTGGTAGGTAACGGCGACGTGGTAGTTGATGACGTTGTAGATTCTTCCGTTGGAATTGATGGTGTGCTTGCTAGAATAGATATAGTTGTGCGGTCCAAGAGGAAAGATGAAACAAGATATGGAATTATTTGAAATATATATTAAATATACATTGTCCGCTAAAATAGCTTGGACCTTTACATTCTGTAAATAAAGCTAAAATCGTTTTTTATTCAATTTTATTATTTGTTGCGAATGGCTTTGTTATCGGAAGAGGGGCTCTTTGAAACTAGATAATATCTAGCATTGGTTAAGAAAGATCGATGGAATCTTAAAATATGAAGGTTTATGTCAAAAATAATCGAGTATAAAGAGGTCTTTCGATTCCATAGAGGGTTTGTTTTATATTCTATACACGAATGTGAAAGCAACGGCATAAACTACTGTTACCTAAGGTAATTAACGAGTGGCCTTTCAGCAGTACACTGACCTACTCTTTACAAATGGTATCTGTTCCGTGTGTTGTTGGAAAACACGAACATGACGGTTGTGATTGATGTTACGTGACTATGTACACTTTATCTTTTATGTTCAATGAAAGGTTGCCGCTATTATTATAGTATTATGAAGCAAGATCGACACGAATTTCACAGTTTTCATTCAAAAGCAGATACATAGAACGTAAGCGAATTATATGGCAAAACAACCTTTTATGCGTTGAGGTGCGATTTAAAATTCCGTATCGATGTCCTAAAATCAAACCATTGGCACATGCAAGATCATCGGCTCGATCTGTATGTGGTAAAGGATGGGCAAAACAACCTTTCTCATTTCAGGGCTTTCATTGTTTTACTCGCTTGGATATGTACAACCAGACACAATATCATTATTCAAGTTATACTTTATAAATACCTATCGTTGAAGTCCGTGTTGGCGGGGTAGTGGTAGTCGTTGTAGTCGTTGTGGTTGTAGAGGGCGAAGTTGTTGAAGTTGTTTCAGCTGGTGTAGTGGTTTTAGTGGGCGTTGTCGATGAAGTCGGTGTGATGGTTGAAGTGGGTGTAAATGTTGAAACTGATGTAGCGGTTGGAATAGGTGTTGTGGTTGTAGTCGTTGTAGTCGTTGTGGTAGGTGGCGTCGTAGTGGTAGCTGATGACGTTGTTGATTCTTCTGTTGGAATTGATGGTGTCATCGATGGCGTGGTTGCTAGAAAAGTAATAAAAGTCGTTGTGAAGTAAAAGACAGCGCAACATATAGAAATATATAGAAATAGCTCTCCATTCCATTCCCGACTCGCTGTGTTCAGTATGTGATCATATTCTGTTCATCAATTATCAGAATTGCCACAAATAGTCGGGTGAAATTCGATTGGATATTGCTTGTCACCTGAATTTTAAATTCACACAAAAATATTTCCATGACTACTGACAGACATTAAACGTGCACTTTCTTATTTTGTTTTTTTATTCCAAAAATACAACAATAAGCATCTGCGGGTTTCAGTATCATTTAGAAACTTACCTCGTCCTCCTTCACAATATTCGATTTGCTGGAATACTAGTTGAGGGGTATTGTAAGTATTTGAATATATAGTAACCCTCAACTTTACACCAGTTGTATTTTTCAGATCCTCATTTATTGTGGCATTATCTGCAGGAAGTCCGTCAACCTGTGAGGAAAACATATTTGTAATTGTAATGGCGATTCATTTTTAGGCTATAATTTCATGAAAAACGCGTCAACAGTGTAGCGGTGATGGTCTAGGCAATACTACATTATAACCGGATGAACAGTCAGAAGATCGAGTACAAACATGGTATGTGTCCGTTCATTCGAGATAAAATAATCGAGACCTTAAATATAATTAGAAATAAAATATACCTGATGGTCATAGAGAGGAGAGCGAATGTTGTTGTTTTCGTCTAATACAGCGAGCTCCATATTTTCCAATTGCAATGCATTGGCCTTGAATCGCAAAAATGCAACCTCGCCTGTACTAGCTGTGATTTCATAGGTAACTACTGCGCGCTGCTGATTTGGAGAAAAGTCAAGTCCTTTTACGCTTCCGTTGATAGTTTTCACGGTAACTATTTCCGGATTTTCAACAGAGATAGTTTTGACGTAACATTCTGAAAATAAAGATGAAAGTAAATCAGAAACGCTACTATTGTGAATACTTTACAAACGACAGCAAGACAGGACTCGTAACTTATAAAACAAAAATACAACCGAATATCAATACATTGTTTTAATATCAAACCCACTGCAGTTATATGTGGCGTAATTATTATCAAAGTTATAGATCATTGATTCTTTGGTAAAATTGAATACATTGAGTACAGTTTCGCACAATTGATATTTGTTACCTGAAACGTTTTAAAGAAAAATGTTACAAATATTTAGGAACAAAGACCTTTTCACAGTGACTTTAAAAAATGTTTTTTTTATTCACGTTTTTAAAACATTTGCATAGCAAATCAAAAGAATACCCTTACAACATTAACTTTGACGAGTTGTCAGTGTTTAGCAAGTAATGAGAAATATGATCATATTTATTTGTAATATCTATATAAGCTTTCAAAGTTATCTGTCGATAACACAATACGATTGACAGGAAAATACGGACATTTAAATAATGTCAAATTTACATTAAAAGGCTACTTGAAAGTTTGGCCCCTGTATTTTTGTAGCAAATACTGATTTATCATATGATAAGTTCACATCAATATACAGTAATGCAACCTAAATCAAATTAAGCAACAGCACTGTTTGGCAAAACATAAATAATGACTATCATAAAAGTCAATCTGATTGCCTGTTGGTGGACAAGATGGCCAATCGACTGTGAAGTCAGATGAAATGATTCAACACCCACTGTTTTTCGTGAATAACTCATAATACGGTTATGAATACCTGGTGGCGTAGTCGTAGTATGCGTCGGACTTGTACTTATTGGTGGCGATGTTGTGGTAGGTAACGGCGACGTGGTAGTTGATGACGTTGTAGATTCTTCCGTTGGAATTGATGGTGTGCTTGCTAGAATAGATATAGTTGTGCGGTCCAAGAGGAAAGATGAAACAAGATATGGAATTATTTGAAATATATATTAAATATACATTGTCCGCTAAAATAGCTTGGACCTTTACATTCTGTAAATAAAGCTAAAATCGTTTTTTATTCAATTTTATTATTTGTTGCGAATGGCTTTGTTATCGGAAGGGGGCTCTTTGAAACTAGATAATATCAAGCATTGGTTAAGAAAGATCGATGGAATCTTAAAATATGAAGGTTTATGGCAAAAATAATCGAGTCTAAAGAGGTCTTTCGATTCCATAGAGGGTTTGTTTTATATTCAATACACGAATGTGAAAGCAACGGCATAAACTACTGTTACCTAAGGTAATTAACGAGTGGCCTTTCAGCAGTACACTGACCTACTCTTTACAAATGGTATCTGTTCCGTGTGTTGTTGGAAAACACGAACATAACGGTTGTGATTGATGTTACGTGACTATGTACACTTTATCTTTTATGTTCAATGAAAGGTTGCCGCTGTTATTATAGTATTATGAAGCAAGATCGACACGAATTTCACAGTTTTCATTCAAAAGCAGATACATAGAACGTAAGCGAATTATATGGCAAAACAACCTTTTATGCGTTGAGGTGCGATTTAAAATTCCGTATCGATGTCCTAAAATCAAACCATTGGCACATGCAAGATCATCGGCTCGATCTGTATGTGGTAAAGGATGGGCAAAACAACCTTTCTCATTTCAGGGCTTTCATTGTTTTACTCGCTTGGATATGTACAACCAGACACAATATCATTATTCAAGTTATTCTTTATAAATACCTGTCGTTGAAGTCCGTGTTGGCGGGGTAGTGGTAGTCGTTGTAGTCGTTGTGGTTGTAGAGAGCGAAGTTGTTGAAGTTGTTTCAGCTGGTGTAGTGGTTTTAGTGGGCGTTGTCGATGAAGTCGGTGTGATGGTTGAAGTGGGTGTAAATGTTGAAACTGATGTAGCGGTTGGAATAGGTGTTGTGGTTGTAGTCGTTGTAGTCGTTGTGGTAGGTGGCGTCGTAGTGGTAGCTGATGACGTTGTTGATTCTTCTGTTGGAATTGATGGTGTCATCGATGGCGTGGTTGCTAGAAAAGTAATAAAAGTCGTTGTGAAGTAAAAGACAGCGCAACATATAGAAATATATAGAAATAGCTCTCCATTCCATTCCCGACTCGCTGTGTTCAGTATGTGATCATATTCTGTTCATCAATTATCAGAATTGCCACAAATAGTCGGGTGAAATTCGATTGGATATTGCTTGTCACCTGAATTTTAAATTCACACAAAAATATTTCCATGACTACTGACAGACATTAAACGTGCACTTTCTTATTTTGTTTTTTTATTCCAAAAATACAACAATAAGCATCTGCGGGTTTCAGTATCATTTAGAAACTTACCTCGTCCTCCTTCACAATATTCGATTTGCTGGAATACTAGTTGAGGGGTATTGTAAGTATTTGAATATATAGTAACCCTCAACTTTACACCAGTTGTATTTTTCAGATCCTCATTTATTGTGGCATTATCTGCAGGAAGTCCGTCAACCTGTGAGGAAAACATATTTGTAATTGTAATGGCGATTCATTTTTAGGCTATAATTTCATGAAAAACGCGTCAACAGTGTAGCGGTGATGGTCTAGGCAATACTACATTATAACCGGATNATTTCTTATTTTGTTTTTTTTATTCCAAAATTACAACAATAAGCATCTGCGGGTTTCAGTATCATTTAGAAACTTACCTCGTCCTCCTTCACAATATTCGATTTGCTGGAATACTAGTTGAGGGGTATTGTAAGTATTAGAATATATAGTAACCCTCAACTTTACACCAGTTGTATTTTTCAGATCCTCATTTATTGTGGCATTATCTGCAGGAAGTCCGTCAACCTGTGAGGAAAACATATTTGTAATTGTAATGGCGATTCATTTTTAGGCTATAATTTCATGAAAAACGCGTTGACAGTGTAGCGGTGATGGTCTAGGCAATACTACATTATAACCGGATGAACAGTCAGAAGATCGAGTACAAACATGGTATGTGTCCGTTCATTCGAGATAAAATAATCGAGACCTTAAATATAATTAGAAATAAAATATACCTCATGGTCATAGAGAGGAGAGCGAATGTTGTTGTTTTCGTCAAATACAGCGAGCTTCATATTTTCCAATTGCAAAGCATTGGCCTTGAATCGCAAAAATGCAACCTCGCCTGTACTAGCTGTGATTTCATAGGTAACTACTGCACGCTGCTGATTTGGAGAAAAGTCAAGTCCTTCTATCCTTCCGTTGATAGATTTCACGGTAACTATTTCCGGATTTTCAACAGAGATAGTTTTGACGTAACATTCTGAAAATAAAGATGAAAGTAAATCAGAAACGCTACTATTGTGAATACTTTACAAACGACAGCAAGACAGGACTCGTAACTTATAAAACAAAAATACAACCGAATATCAATACATTGTTTTAATATCAAACCCACTGCAGTTATATGCGGCGTAATTATTATCAAAGTTATAGATCATTGAATCTTTGGTAAAATTGAATACATTGAGTACAGTTTCGCACAATTGATATTTGTTACCTGAAACGTATTAAAGAAAAATGTTACAAATATTTAGGAACAAAGACCTTTTCACAGTGACTTTAAAAAATGTTTTTTTTATTCACGTTTTTAAAACATTTGCATAGCAAATCAAAAGAATACCCTTACAACATTAACTTTGACGAGTTGTCAGTGTTTAGCTAGTAATGAGAAATATGATCATATTTATTGTAATATCTATATAAGCTTTCAAAGTTATCTGTCGATAACACAATACGATTGACAGGAAAATACGGACATTTAAATAATGTCAAATTTACATTAAAAGGCTACTTGAAAGTTTGGCCCCTGTATTTTTGTAGCAAATACTGATTTATCATATGATAAGTTCACATCAATATACAGTAATGCAACCTAAATCAAATTAAGCAACAGCACTGTTTGGCAAAACATGAATAATGACTATCATAAAAGTCAATCTGATTGCCTGTTGGTGAACAAGATGGCCAATCGACTGTGAAGTCAGATGAAATGATTCAACACCCACTGTTTTTCGTGAATAACTCATAATACGGTTATGAATACCTGGTGGCGTAGTCGTAGTATGCGTCGGACTTGTACTTATTGGTGGCGATGTTGTGGTAGGTAACGGCGACGTGGTAGTTGATGACGTTGTAGATTCTTCCGTTGGAATTGATGGTGTGCTTGCTAGAATAGATATAGTTGTGCGGTCCAAGAGGAAAGATGAAACAAGATATGGAATTATTTGAAATATATATTAAATATACATTGTCCGCTAAAATAGCTTGGACCTTTACATTCTGTAAATAAAGCTAAAATCGTTTTTTATTTAATTTTATTATTTGTTGCGAATGGCTTTGTTATCGGAAGAGGGGTTCTTTGAAACTAGATAATATCAAGCATTGGTTAAGAAAGATCGATGGAATCTTAAAATATGAAGGTTTATGTCAAAAATAATCGAGTATAAAGAGGTCTTTCGATTCCATAGAGGGTTTGTTTTATATTCTATACACGAATGTGAAAGCAACGGCATAAACTACTGTTACCTAAGGTAATTAACGAATGACCTTTCAGCAGTACACTGACCTACTCTTTACAATTGGTATCTGTTCCGTGTGTTGTTGGAAAACACGAACATAACTGTTGTGATTGATGTTACGTGACTATGCACACTTCATGTTTTATGTTCAATGAAAGGTTGCCGCTATTATTATAGTATTATGAAGCAGGACCGACATCAATTTTAATTTTGCATTCAAAAGCAGACACATAGAATGTAAGCGAATTCTATGGTGACTATTAAAATTTCGTTTTCTATTGCGTTTTTAAAACATTGCGGTGCATATCACTGCAATACCCTCACCACATTAACTTTAACGTGTCGTAAGTCGTTAACAAGTAATGAGAAATAAGATTATACTTATGTTAAATAAATTTATTAATCTTTCAAAATTATATGCCGATAAATCAATAAGATTGCTAGGAATATATTGATATTAAAATAATGTCAAAATAAAAAATGAGATATTACTTTAGAGTTTGGGGTTGTATTTTAAGATTCGAAAACCTCTCTGTATTTTGTTATTAACTCGTAATACGGTTATGAATACCTGTCGTAGTCGCTGTATGCGTCGGACTAGTAGTGAAAGGTGACCTCGTTGTGGTAGGTGACGTCGTTGTGGTAGATGATGTCGGTGCGGTATATGACGGCGTCGTGCTGGATGACGACGTTGTGGTAGGTGACGTCGTTGTGGTGGGCGGTGTCGTGGTAGATGATGTAGGTGTGGTATATGACGGCGTAGTGGTAGGTGACGTCGTTGTGGTAAGTATCGGCGTTGTAGTGGGCGGTGTCGTGGTAGATGATGTCGGTGTGGTATATGACGGCGTCGTGCTGGATGACGGCGTTGTGGTAGGTGACGGCGATGTGGAGTGCGGTGTCGTTGTAGATGATGTCGGTGTGGTATAAGACGGCGTCGTGCTGGATGACGGTGTTGTGGTAGGTGACGGCGTTGTGGTAGGTGACGGCGTCGTGCTTAGTGTCGTTATTGTGGTAGGTAACGGCGTTGTGGTGCGTGATGTCGCGGCAGATGATGTCGTTGTGGTATATGACGGCGTCGTGCTAGGTGACGTCGAGGTGACAGGTGACGTTGTCGTCTGTGTTGTCGTTGTCGCATATTTTGGTGTTGTAATAGTTGAGGTAGAAATTGTCGTTCCGGTAGCTGAAATAAAGATATAAATGAACTTTAAGGATTTATAGTAAAGACAAGTACAATTTCATCTAGCTTACAGTAACAGTAAAAGTATTGAAATATGAGCATGTTGAAATCAATTAAAGTTTTTTAAAAGATATATTGAATAGTATAATTTGAACACACTCATTCTACAGCTGATATCTAATTCAGATATAGAGAGGAAAAAGACAAAGACAAAGACAAAGAGACAATCCATATATATGTGATGAAAACAAAGGCTAACACTGTTATACCCCCTCCCTTATACCCCTACCAATCAAGCTTTGCCTATGACGTTTGACCCTTTCGACTTGATTAAAGACTACCATAATCTATTCTAGTGTGGAACTCAATGTTACCATACTATAGTGTAAATATAATCAAAAACATTTTGAGGGGGTCCTTTAAATATCACAAGCTTTTTACTTTGAAAGCGGTTTTTATCGTGACCTTTGACCCTTTAATTATGACTGATGCCCACTGAAATGTTAGCCGATGTAGAGCTCAACATTATCATGTCATGGTGTAAATATGAACTTCATGTATTTATGCTTCGGACAGGCAGACTTACACAAAAGTTATCACTAGGTAGGGGTATAATTAAAGCAAAGAAATGTTGGAATAATTTGATATTCAAATCACATATACCACAGCATGTCAACGTCTAGGGTATTTACATAACAACTCCCCAGGTTAAAGATGTCCGCTGAGCGTTGTTATAAATACACATTGTAAGAGGTAAAATGCCACCTTTTTAACATTTACACTAACACATGTCAACATCTCAGGTATTTGCATGCAAAAGAACATCATCGATACCCTAGGCTAAAGAGGCCCACTGGGCATATTTTCGAATTGCGATCCAAAACATTTTTTTTTTTGTGTTTTGAACGTGCCAGGGCACATTGCTACAGGTCAGATGCTACTTTATAACATCAACACTAAAACATGTCAACGTCTGTGGTATTCACATACAAAAGGGCAAAAGCGCTGAGCTTGTTCTTGGGAAGCAAATAAAATGCGACACATAAACTTAGTAAGGGAAGCAGGGTTACATATTGTATTATACAGACATTATGTATTCATTGTATGCAATTTGAAAGACAGTTTACATTCTACGCTAGCTTATAACAAGTGGGTTATAGTTAAAATATTGTAAAAGATCGTAGTAAATATACTCTTCTGCACAAAAAATAAGAATAATAATATCAGTTTAACCGACAGCATAAATACACGATTACAAGTTAAAACAACTTTGGTACAGATATAACCGACCTCTGGAATCCAGGAGATACAGAAACATAATGAAATCTTTCAACGCATATCACCACACACTGATTGTTCTTCACGTAAAACTGGTTTTTCTAACTCTTTGATGTCAAAGTGCAATACAAATTGAAGACGTCATGTTTATCAATGCTTTAGTGTATAAAAATGAATTTTCCAATATCCACCTACAATGTTTAAACGTCTCATCAAAGTCATCGATAGTCATAAAAAATAAGTAAATGGTTGATATTTAAATAACATGACATGTATAAACTATACGTGCAGACTTACTGCATCCAATTTCATCCTCAGCGTCCCCACAGTCATCGTGATGATCGCACAACAGAGCCGGCGGAAGGCAACTCCTACTTTTTGTACATTGGAATTCGTTTGGCGATTCACAGGCTACAGAGAAACGATATAACATAAAATGTCATTTTGATTTAAAAACACGTTTCAATTTACTGAGTTCGAAATATGCTGCCTTGCCACATTTCACTTGAAGATATCTTTATATAAGGATGTTATGGGGAGAAATATCAAGTTCAAAATAGTATCTCCCTCTCGTCAAAATTAACACGTTTGATTATCTCATGTATCTCGTTTGGGGGGAATGAAAACAATTAATGGTTACATGCTGTGAAGCGTTTTAGGACTAATACATTGTCCGTGTCTATCTTCTTTTGAGACCCTTTCAAGCTTTTTTCTTCTCACGAAAAGTGCAAAGTATAGTCAGACAAAAATGACTCGTAGTATTGACCTTTCCGTGGAATATCCATATAGGCCGATCACTTTCCTTGTGGACGTATGCCCAGCAGTTCACTGATATTAAGAATTATCGAGTTTACCATACACGTGATAAGACCGGTTGGCAATTATCCTGTCACAGCTTAACAATAAATTAAACAAAACAAAACAAAAATTCGCTCCGTGTTTACACGAACAGCTGCTGTTATAGATTTCGTTTTTTTCTACTACTTCACCTGACCTCACTTTTTCAAGATGATTTTGTGTACAATGATAAGCCTTCGGTTACAGGCCAACCATGGGGATACATTAGCATGTACGTAGGTTTGTTTGATAGTGACTGTTTAATCTTGTTATATAAAAGTGATCATGTTTCTGTCTTGAAAAGGGACTGATTGCCCTGATTGTTTTTACAAATCCCGTTGTCAGCACTGTCGTTATTACTTCTTTGATTATATAATAAAAAGTTTAAAAGTCCATGTTAAGTAGCACTCTTCAGGAGTTTTGCGCTCCAATCGAATGAGAAACTGTCGCAGTTGTCTTATGTAATAACCTTAAATTAACAATTGCCCGACATTGTCTATAATCTTTGCCAGTTATATTTATAATCAATTTGGTATTAAATAATCCCTTTTTTCTCACATCGCTGAAGGTTTCACTTACACCTAGAACAAATGCGATATATAAATATATATATATATAACTTTAAAACAACATATATATAGATATAAAATAATTCAATGCCCATGTGACTGTAGAAATATAATTAAACAAAACACTGAAGACCATATCTCACACGTACTTTCGCCTATCTTGGGGCTCTTCGGGCGATTTTAATTTATTGGATTTGTGATGTCATAGATAAGGTACACATACTTAAGACGTCAAAAACAATGACGTCATAAATAAAGACACATATTGTGGTCATCTAAAATTTGCGGCAGGTTAAAATATTTATAACGAATGTATTCAAATTAAATGCGTCAATAAAATATACGACATGTATGTTAGTTATGCTCAATTAAATACAAATTTCAAGAGTTATCATCTTGATAGTAAATAAACATCGATATCACAGCACAACATCTACATCATCTGAACATATAGATTATGAGGAATTTGTATTTACACCTCAAATAGATACTCGAAATTCGGTCGCTATATAAAAAAAATCTATTTCAGGTTGATGTTTATTCTTTTAACTATAATATATGTACATCTATGGTTAATGAGGCAATACTATTAGTAACCTCTCAACACATCCTATGGTTTTAACGTAAAAAATTGAAGCAGTACGGTAAAATAGTGTATATGTGGCAGCAACATACTCTCGAAAGACAATCTGGAAACTTACAGTCAGAAATGAAATCAGTCTCAGCGAGATGTTTTCGTTTAGGCAATCCCACAATTCCCTTTCTCAGAAAGAGCAGAGATTTGTTAACTTAACAACGGACATTTTTATAATTGAGGGTGTAATTAATTTGAGATTGAAACTTACTTGTGCAGTTAACTTCATCTGATCCGTCATCACAGTCATTTGCCTCATCACAACGAAACGTAATGGGAAGGCAGTTTCCATCCAAACACTGAAAGGTGTTGACTCTGTCTTTACAGGCATCTAGGAATACAAATCACAGAGAAAATATGCTTTAGATAATATTTTTCAATTTTTATGAATTTGTGTATTCAGCCGTGTACTTGGTTAACATTTTCGTTGATCAGAAAATGTGGGCTGGTGGTGATTGAAGCATTTGGAGAGGCCATGCGGAGACATAGAACAACAGACAGGAGGAGGAGGAGGAGGAGGAGAGGAGGAGGAGGAGGAGGAGGTGTTGATATCTATGCATACCTTTCTATATATAAGAATATTCTGAAAGACGTAGTCTTACAAACTACTTTGAAATATAAGTCTTATTTATTGCATTACCACATATTCTTTGCAAGAATTTTATTTTATAAAGCAAAACAAATGTGGCAGAAATAGAAGTACAAATATCCTGCATATTAAAGCAATATATGCTGGGGAGACATTTCGTCAATTGATGTTAGGTTACCGACACAGGCTACTGCTTGTATTTGTACAGGTTTATGTAAAAAAAACATCCTCAAGATACAGCACAATTTGACCTATAATTTCTATAAACAGTTTGATTTATCTCCCATATGCCATTGATTTGCACATTGATATATGTTTTGCATATAAATTGTATCTTTTTTCAATTTTTCTTTTCATTATGAATTATAATAAATATATATACAGTTTCATACAAATGCATGCAGAAGAGAACTCATATAGGCATAGCCTGTTGTTCGATCCCTTTAATATACCATCATGAGTACAAAATTGTTGAAATGAAATGAAACAACATCCTTCGTTGGTATTAATTGTAGGCGATGAAATCAGCTTCTGTAAATAACGTTATATCAATCGAAAACATGTTTTTACAAACTTCACTAAACATGACATTACTTATCCTGTTCACTGCACTCGTTATCGTCTGAATAATGCCGGGGGAAAAGCCAATGTGCAAATTCGGAGCTAACATTTTATAACAATTGCAAGATGGAAGATACATACGTTTTGAAAATATTATATGTAAGCAACTTTCCCGTCAACTTGTTCATATACTTTGCAGTCATTCAATAGGAAACTCTTTCTTATGCTGTGAATTTATCAATTCTAGATGGTAACGTAAGTGAAGTACAGGTTTTCCAATGTAATGAACTGTTTTCTTTATTCGTTGCTATTTTCAAACAGTAACATGCATTGCAATATTTGATTTTTATGGAATACTTTTTACTTTTGTTTCGAAATATTTCACAATAGTGACGAAGATATTAATAAATTTCAACTTGTTGTTACCATTTATCTTAAAACAAGTAGTTTGAGTCGTTGATTAAGAAATACGTCATTGTTTTGTACCATTGTTGAAAAATACTTTTGATCATAAATGTTACTTTTATTTCTCATTGCCATGTATGATGACATAGCAATAAGTGTTGGTAAGAAATCATTCTACTCACATGTGCAGTTAAATTCATCGGTTGAATCCAAACAGTCAGTCATGCTGTCACATACCTCAGTTGCATTTATACATTGCCCACTGCCGCATCGGAATTCACCAACACTACACGCTGTGAGAGCAATGGCAAATAGTAACATTACAGTTATAATAGGAATGACAATAGTTTAATAGTTTCAAAAATATTATAACTCTACAAAAGAATTCCGTTGGACTGATAAGTGTTGAGAAGCTACATAAAATCTTGTTTGTATTTTATTTAAGTATTCGCATAATACATGGAAGTGGTGATGTATGATATGTCCTCCATTATTCTATAATATATGGCAAGCCAAGCGTCGAATATAAGGTAACATGGGGGAAATGTATATCTTCAATACACAATGATTACGTCCGAACACGTATATGTAAATTAGGATACCCTTTATACGCTCGTGACTTATGTTCGATATTTCATCATAACGGAAACTTACTGCAATTCATTTCATCAGATCCATCATCACAATCATGAATGTTGTCACATTTGTAAATATTTGAAATGCATTTTCCGTTAGAACAGGTGTATTCATCCGCTGTGCAGTTAGGCTTACAGCTTGCACCCCTACACTGGAACGATCCCGAAAGGCACGTACTGAAAAATAATCCGTTAAACTTTACAGCTGCAGCTCTCAAATAGAACAAATGTATTAATAGATAATAATTTACAGAAAATTTTGTGCATGAAGTCGGCTCATTTTAAAATTAAATACTTAAAATGCAGCCAAATATGCTTTATATATTTAGTAAAAACATATATTTAACCATTAACGTGCTTGCAATAACGAAGTATAAACATGGACCCAGTCTCTATATCATAGTTTACAGATGGAAGGACACTTTCCCGTCAAAAGATATTCCTAAATGAGCGTAAAACGTTAATTTCGTAATGTTGGTTTACTTTTTGCTCTGGTTCTTATGCAATGAACAAAAACGTTAATTCCTTGATTTACTTAGTAACATTTTTATGCAAAAGTAAAATAATCATTTAAAAGCAGTAAATTACAACTTTAATACACGTAACAAGAAATGGTATGGCAGTGATTATTGTCTCTGTCATAACATAAATGTATTGTAAATGCGATATTGTGGTACCATAATTATATCCTATGTTAAACGTACCATGTCATACAATCGTGAGTTATAACGGATCCTGTTTCGAATTCCAAACCCTGATAATAACACGGACATGTGTCGGCGGGTTTACAGCCATCGTCTTTGAGGAATGGAAAAGAAAGCGGAAAATGCAAACGTCTAATAGTTGAAAGTTATTCAAGTAGTAAGCCAATATTCAAAATCAAACCAATTAGGACATGACAGTTTTCTTTCTTTCTCTCATGAATCATCATATTGACTATTAATGACATATACATGTTATCCAATACTTACTATCAAGTTAGTATCATATAATTAATATGTACGTTTCACGGTGAAACTAAACTTGATCTTTTGCAGGACTTAACCAACCAACCAATCAATCAGAGATCAATTTTTTAGTGTAATACATGACAATCGTTGGACATTGATAATTGAAGCATGTGATTTCAATACGGATATTTCACTATAAATAACCTTCGGCTACTGGCCAGCCAGATGCATAGGCCCTAATATCAGCCAATTACTTCATTAATAACTGCTTTTCAAATATAGTATATGATATAGGATAGTTCTCATAAGATGGATGACACTTGATTATAAAAACAATTATTTAATGAGATAAAAATCTTAGATCTAGAATAACAAAATCGACTTTCTGGCTATTGTACCCTTACCGTCTTCCACGTAACCATCTGGGCAGCTGCATCCTTCTACACATTGTGTATCATTACAGTACGGTTCCGGTTCGTTACCAATGTTTGCACATGTTTGTTGACATGGAGAACGACAAGGTGTGTAACGCCTACCTCCTTCACACATGATAGCTGTATAACGGAACATTGGGCTAAATATCTTGTTCCAAAATATATGAATTACCAAATGTTGCGAAAAACAAAAATATGAACAATTTGAGAGAAGTATTGGCAAAAATTGCAATTATAACACAAATGACCTCTCGTGGAAATACCAATGCGTTAACAAGGCTTACAATAACTAAGAACGATAACAGCTTGTATTAAAATAAAGACACTAAACATTACAGAAGACAATATTCAATATTTAGATATGCAATGAAAATTAATACGTTATGCGAACACTTACGACAGAAGTGTGGTGTTCTCCATTTAACATGTACGCCCATCGCGTTACACGCTTCCGCGAAATTGGCGATCGCTGTACACAGACACTCGCAGTCTCCACCTTTATCACAGCTGTGGAAAAATAGGTGATAACAGACGATTTGGGGGACTTAAATGTAATAAGGATAGGTACTTGCTTTTAATAACATTCATATAATAAATGTATTTAGGTGCACCCCTTTATCTTTATCATTTTGACATAATAGATCGTTTGCCAAATGTTAAAGTGTGTGTCTTACGTTCATTTTCACTCATTTGTAAAGTTATAGGTTTCAAATCTGATTATCTCTTCAAATGACTATACATTAGTTACCATATTAATTATTCATTTATTTTTACCCTCAAATTTTACTGGGATGATTGACTTTCGTCTATATAAAAAACAACCAAAAAAAACAACCAAACAAACAGAACATATATTCAAAATATAAGAAGTCAATTGAGTTGAGTACATCCAGCTAATTATTCAAGAGGACCACAATTATTTGCCATTATATGATAGGATGACTAATCTGTAAATTGCAATTTTGTGGAAATTAATTCCCCTGATTTATAACCAAACTTATATGGGGTCACATGTGTCCAACACTTCGTTTTAAAACTATTTATTATTTGAGTGTAGCTGGCAGGATTATTGGCCATTGTTTCCTTGCTGTTTTCAAAGTTGAAAATTTTAATGTTTTACATGCTACAAACGACATATTCTAATTTAGAATTTGGATTAGTGTATGCTGCTTGGGTTATCGCATGTTTTGATGAAAGCATATCAAAAATATGCATATACGTCATTTTGAAAAAAAAGTAAAGTTTACAGGGTTTAAATGTGCTAAAAACCTACAACTACATTGCTCTGAATTGTATAGCATATAGTATAGCTATTTGTTAAGTACATGGCTGTATTATACGTTTCTTTTTTTTAATGAATTACTTTGATCCACATCAAAGGTCAAACGTTTCCTATATGTTCACATTTTCAAAAGAATTTGATCTATATTAATGATATTTAATAGGTAGCTGTATCCTGTTTGCTGAATGCCTATCCGTTTTGAGTCAAAAGGAGTGAAGCGTTTGTAAGCATTCTAACGACTTCGTCAACAAAAATAAAAGTTATATTTAATTGAAAGTTTGGCTGTAGATTTCCAGTGAATGGGGCTATCGGATGTGTTCATCAAACACATAAGAACTGTGCCCGGAGTCATTGGCTTGCTGAATTTAGTAAAGGGACAGCAATCCTGTTTAAAATACGATCTTAATCAATATAGAAAGGCATCCATCATGGAAAAGGCAGTGGATGATATGCATTAATGAATTTATCAAAAATAACAATGATTCAACATATCTTTTCAACTACCGTGGGAATGAAAAATACAAATTCTCATACGGATGTAACCAGCTCTATTTTGCTTGTCTTTATATTCGTTAGATAAAAGCACCACTATATTTACTCTAATTTGGCTAGAAACTAAATAATTACCTGCATGCGTCAGTCAAACAATCCTGATACATTTCCTCTGCCTGTATTGTAGGTTGTTGGCGACATTTAGCGAATATTTCACCTTCAGTAATTATTCCGCAAGATCTTTTGGCCCAATCAGCACGAATACTCTGGCTACCCTGAAGGTATAATTTGTAGTGCCCGTATGTACATTTTATGATTTATTTATTTTTTATAAAAATCAACATCAGAAAATAAAAATAAAGAATATCTTTTTTGAAAAGTTCTTTAAGACGGTTTTTTTTTGCATTTTTTTTTTATAATGTTATCGAGTTAATGTTGCAAATCACAATTTGACAATTTGATTTCTTTTATGTTGTTGTTTTACACAAACGATATTACAGTGTACGTTAAGCATAACTACCATGCAGCGCTATTGTATGATCTTATTGTGCCACAATTTATTTGTTCAAAACCATGTAGCATGTTAGGTTGCGTTTGAAATATAGCGTAATAAGATGCACTGAAACGCAGAGATATATGTTGTTAATGAATCCGTTGTTCCGCATAATCTTTTATTTCAATGTTCACTGTGCAAGACACGTCGTCAACATACTGTAGAGTACATAATACATGAGGATTCTAAAATACCTAGTTTACCTCCTGTACAGCAGTTTTGTGTTCGAATGAGCAAGTTTGAAAGGAAACTAACACTAACCTGACAAGGGCTGGATTCTGATGGGTGGCCTGTTACGTCTGCACAGGTTGTACTTCTTTTCCACGAGTTAGCGAATAAATTGATGTCCTGATTGTCATTCATTCCAGTCTGAGATTGAAAGTCATTATTATCGATCCCATCATAATTTCCACAAAGGCCTTCCACTTTACCCCGCCATTTGGAGCCAAGGAAAATGTACACTCTTGTGCCTTTGAAGAAAGGGAAAATACAATATGCATAAATCAACTGAGAAAGTATTAACCAAACCTTTAAAAGAGCAAATGGCCAATAATATGACATATTGATAATGCACATTGAATGCAGATGTAGAGAAAATCGTTATTTTGATGTTTTATAAGTATGTATCTTACTGATGAGGATTGATTCTGACTTATTTGTAAGTTTTCTTTTCTTCAGTAATAAATAAATGCATGTTGATGTACAATGTGTAAATAAGTCACCAAAAGCCTAATGTCCTCATCAATTTAAGCATGTTGCAAATGTACAGACTCATACGTTTGTTGTCTTTGAGGGGAGAAGCGTTATACTGTCATTTTGTCATTTACTTTCTTAACTAGTTTGTACCAAAAATGATTTGCCTGTTGAGACATAAACAACAGTATACATAACAGATATCAATTACTCACCATTGTCCCACAGAACGGAAATGTCTTCATTGATAATCGTTACACGGACCCAGGGAGCCTCTATTGTAACATCAACACCGGATACCTTGTGGCGAATACCGTTTACATATGTATCACCAACTTTTACGCGGGATCCTCTGACCATCGAAATCTTTAATCCACCTTGCAACGTCACTATTACAGATTTAGTACAGGTTACCCCACTGCTTCCACACTCAACATTTTCTGCACTTATGTCAAATGTTTTGCCATTTTGCTCTTTAGCCAATGTGTATGCACAATCGCCTTGGAACGGATAGTGGGAGCCGTCAAAAGTATTGTAATGGGGATCTCCTGATGCCCAACACACAGCTAAAACAGACATTAAGAAATGAATAGTTTGGGGAATTTGGAACAACATACGACTTACGACATTCAGATTTTGAATATTGAGCGAATCGACATACGACATTAGGGTTTTCAATTTTGAGCGACTTGACATGCGATATACAGATTTTAAATGTTGCGTGGCTCGACATGCGTCATACGACATTTAGATTATGAATGTTGAGGGACTCTACGCATGAAATGCGACATTGAAAATCTGAATGTCGCATGTTTCGATAAACGTCAATCGACTTTTAAATTTTCAAAGTTGAGTGGCTCGACATACGACATTCAGAATTTCTGAATGATGAGCGTTTCGACATTTGGCATTTGACTTTCAGACTATGACTGTTGGGCAGCTCGTGATACGACAATAATATTTTGTATGTGCACCGGCTCGACATACGACATTCGGATTTCGAATGATAAGCAGCTAGACAAACGACATTCAACATTCATTTTTTGAGCCTTGAGGAGCTTGACTTACGACATTTGACGTTCAAACGTTGCTTCAAGTAAATTAACGAAACTGTGGAGAAGGGGTTATTCTAGTGAACTTGTGATGTCCGTAATTTATAATTGTATGACCACAAACATGAAATAAGTGGGTCACCTATTCAGTCTTACCTGGGCAGTCCTGTTTCGCTATGACATCCCAGTGCCTGTTTACACAGCGGCTGCAAGATAAGCAATATAGTATTCATATGATTAAAGAAATGATATTCCAGTTCTCTTTCCGATAGAGATATAGACGCTTTCGATTATCTCACTCGTGCATCCTTTGGTTTCAAACATGACCTTATTTGGATTTGACCTGGATGCTGGATTTCATCGACTGCCAAAGTTCTACGCGTGTGCCTTTGTTTATAATTTGCACTGGTTTTCCAGCTTTGTGATCGCATAACGAAAATTTGACGCTTTGATATTCTCTTTATTCACAGTCATACCTTATAGTTTTTTCAACGTATGTTTTTGTCAAAAAAAGACTCATTTTATACTTGTTAAACTCTTACATTCATCTACAAAAGACATCATAAACCCGAAAATAAAACGGCGCATCTATGTTATTCCAGTACACGATCCATGGTTGTTTCACCAGCTAATTCGGCAAACTGTCACGGTTGTTTTACTTTTAATGCCTTGTACATGATGATGTATTTCCATGACATTTTAAATGATAGGTCATTGTTAAAGAGTGTCAAAATTAATCATTGAAATACTCTAATGAGCCATAAGGCTAAGAGTAAGTATCGTCAAATCAAATATTTCCAGCATAAATGGCTCTGAAACACTTCACAGTCATCAGTTGCTTACATGATGATATATATCTATTAACCCTACAGTTATAATATTTGTTTTATAGATCGAACGAACAGAAACTAACAGGTTAACACAATCAAACAACATCTAAATAACACAAACAACAAAAATAACTACGCTTTAATTATTTAGGTGATGTGTTTACAAAATTGATCAAATATATTACCTCGACTTACTTTTTGTTGAATACTTAAAGACGCATCTTCTTAGTGTCAGTAAGGCTTGGATTACTAATATTTGTTTTAGAGTTGTTGGTACAACGGACCATCGAATTCGTTCGAATAAATGTTATTGAAATATCTTTAAGAGGACAGGGAACAAACACGTTAAACCATTCTGAAAGTCCTTCCCAGGCTAGTGTAACTCTATTTTCTGGTAAATAAGAACCGTATAACAGAATTTAAAATCTGGTCAATTTTTTTATTTTTTTTCCACTATAAAAATAACACAGGTAAAACGAAATGCATGGAAATTCGATTAGATATAAAGACAACGTTTTAATATGTAGATAGTTGTTTTCTTTTTTTCTTTTTTTTATGAAGAATAGTAAGTAGCTAGTATTTATATGATGTGTTACTTACTAAGTCTTGCAGGATTCCTCGAAGACATCACCTGGATTAAAGTATTCACCGAATCGAGAACATGGACATTCTCCTTTCACTACACAAGTTCCCTGGCAACAGAATGAAACACAGCATAAGACAATCACTGTAAAACTAACTGTTGGATTAGACGTTTCTTGAAAATACTTAAATGTGTTAAGTTTGACTTTTAAAATATATTGTAACCTTAATTCCTAGCGTGAGTTTTATTTTATATGTTGGATGGCATGACTACTAATAGTCACGTCTTTTAGATCATTTTTTTTATGAAAAGATTTCATTTTAACGCAATCTGCATTCCCTTACTGATATAATGACATACATTTGGGGTTCGGTACATATCATCCGGGCAGGCACATCCATCATATCTTATTTCGTTAGTACACGATATGTAACGGTCCAAAGTTTCACAAGTGGGTTCGCAACCAGTGATGCTTGTTCTGTAGATCTGGTTTTTAGGACAGGTTATGCCAACAACACAGTCGGGATTGTCACACACCCAAGTAGCATTTTCACAGGTACTGGCATAAAAAAGAAACGTAGACATGTAAACTGTTATGTTTGCGAATACCCGTATGACTACGTGGATCAGTTTGTTAACATTCGATACAGATCGATGTGATGATTTAAAAAAAATGCATTTGATACAATATTCCAAGTACGAAATTACAGAATTCGATGCGTCGAATATGTAAATGTTTAAAACATATGACTGCTTGCCAGTTAAATCTACTACCAGAACATGTGAGTTGGGACCTTCACAAATGTTGTTTTCGCTGGGAAACGTAACTGAAGAAAACCACTTGTCCTAAATGCTTACCAGTTTGTGCAGCCTTGGGGATTTATTGAATGTGCATCTTTGAATGAGTTCGTATACTCGTCATAACAATCACACTCCTCGATTCCAACGCACATGTTATTCTTATCACTCCAAAGTTGATCGCTTGGACATTTACATCCCGGCATACAAATTTCCTTGCAGGAAACATCATTGACTTGTACATCACGACAGGATCCCTGGCATATACTGGCGCAAGTGGTGTAGACGCTGCCCCCTTGGCACACATCATATCCAGCTGGACAACAGAAATCGTCAAAATTTTAAATGTTTTCTCAAACCAAAAGGATCATTATGCTGTGATGAAAACAAGTCATATAGAAAACGAAAACGAAACCGAAAATTCTAATAGGCGAAACTCAGTAAGCGTTGTTCTCGTTTATTCAAGACTTTGGGAGTTTAAGATATGCGTGAACCGTGTTCACTAGAATCATACTGTGCTTAAGGATGTACACCTCTGAGAAGTCAAAATATTCCTGTATTAAACTTTTTTTCTTATATTGATGTTTGGAAAAAGGAGATAATGGCATAGTAGAAAATGCAAAAATATATATATGTCCGTGTGTTCGTTTTTGTTCTATGATCGGTCAAAGATACCAATTTAACACAATAGGTGATTTTAGGTGAATTTTTGGGTTTTGACCATTTGCAGAACAAATTCATACAATTTCTTCCAAGTCTGTTATAAGATATGTATGCATGTTTGTAGAATTGATAAAAACATTATTTTCTTTTAAATTATGGAAGTAAAATTTCTTAATCTTATTCAATTTACTCCGAAATACAGATTTTTGCAGATTAAACGCTTGATATAAAAAAAAATCCTGTATTAAACTTTTTTTGGTATTCAATGAATCAAAAGGAAATGTGTTTCTCTTTCTAAAACAGCCATAAAAATGGGGGGTCGGTGTGCTTCTTTTTTAGTCCTTTTATTATTTGTGTTATTTTTCACCTTTTTCGGGGTCAAAAATCAAAAGTGCTTCAGTTACCCTAATATGTAAAAAAAAAAAAAATATATATAACTTTCCACTTTTTTACATATTATTTTAATCATATTGAACATTATAAAGTTGTACAGCTAAATTGAACCTGCTACATTTAAAAATGGTGACACAATGACAATTTAAGTGATTAATCTAGTGTCAAAAAAGGTGAAGTTTTTGCCCTTCGTGAAGCGCAAGAAATACACACTAATACACTTTTTCAAAATGGCCGCCAAATTGGTCGTTTTTTTTAAATACTTCTATTTTATTTATTTTTTAAAACAACACACAACTTGTTTTTTGACATGTTTTTCAGATGTGTGTTTGCTATTAAACCTATTATAATTTGATAAATATTACAAAAACCCGTTACACCAGATCAAAACGAGATCGGGAACTTGTAGAAAGTCTATTTTCCAGACAAATGAGATTCCATTTAATTGTATATGTATACCGAACGTGGCCACATTCACACAGTCGCTCTGTTAGGGCGACGGAACACCCCAATATGGCTTGTAGGTTCAATCAATAAAGGCGTATTCGCTGAATGACCGTGGGCGTATTTTACCATAATATTGTATTCCTAATGCTTACTAGTCCATTACAGTATAAACATTTATACCAGTACAATAACAAAACAAGTAGTAAAAACAAGCCCATTTGCATTATGTCTTAATAATAACATAACAGACTGTAAAAAAAAATTCATACAGGTGTTTATTAATTAATGTTGTTTTAAAGATGATAAAGAAACGATTGTGTGATATTATAAATTACATCACATTATGAGGCATATATAATTATATAAATATTCATTAATCTTGTAATTGTTGTCCGTTTATTATTTGTTAATATTATTTAATTCTTTTGCGATATATTTTATGCTCACCTGCGCATTTCTAAGCTAGTGACAACTGTAGAATTGGTTATTCTTAATGCATTCTGAACAAGCACATTTTTAAGAAACTATCAGCACATTTTTTAGCAATCGCAGTGTTTCTTTATAAAACTTTGTAAAGTTTATCTTTATGTGCTCGCAAACATTTGTTACGTGATGTCTTTTCTCATTTTATCGACAACTCGATATAATAGCTTATGTCATTATTTCTGGATCCTATACCTAATCCATTTGCTCAAGTTTAACGTGGATGTATTTGGAAACATTCACATACAGAAGGATATTTTTAACTTACAATACGTGTAAATCTTTTAAAAGAGCGTAGACCGTGCATGTTTATATTGAGCAAACAGAACTGGCACGCGTTAGTATCATCGTAACTTATAACAAAAAATGTCTTGTTGTTATTGGCGCTGTGGAATTGTGTTTACTGAAATTAAGAAAAGAATCAATTTGTGGATTTGAGCAAATACGTTTGAACAAATACGTTTGAACAAATACGTTTTTTGTTGCCAATGGATAAAGTTAAATACGATATGTTTTATTATTACAGCATAGATTTAATTTAATCAAGTCAGAATATCATCAAAGAAAAATCATGTTGGTTTGAAAATTATCAACAACGATACGCTAACAACACGCAATTTGCAATACAAATGTATACGATATATTGTAAGTGCATTCAACGTACCACACATGTCAGACCATGTTGGATCAGAAAGCCAGTCGACTGCGCTGTTGTCTCCAATGTGTGTACAAGCCAAGGACATCGCTGCTGTAATAGCACACACTGTGTTGTTACAGTCCTGGGTCTTACTTGAACAGTAGTCCTCCATACAATATTTGTAAAAAAGATTCAAACCGACATATTCGACGCATTCACTGAACAAGGGGTGACTAAGAAGTGGCCCGCACATATTTTCTGCTTCTTTTATCTGACAAAAAAGAAACATGGGATTACCGAATGTCCACCAACACCACAATTCGAACTCAATCTATTAACATAGCGCTAAATGTGAACAAAGGAATGACTTACACAACCATTGAAAACGGACAAAGATAATACAACCAGGTGTTCCGGGAGGGGACACGTTTTTCGCTTTTTCTTTCAATCTACTTGAATGTTTTGTCACTTAAAGTGATTATTTATGACACTATTATGTGTATGCATCAACAGCGGCTTGTTTAATGCTTCGTGTATATGTTACTCTTTTTTAAATGCTGTTTTCAGAACAACGCCTAAGCAGTAAACAGGTTATTGTTTTGTAAAATAATCAATGAAGGAAAGGGAAAAAAATGTTATTATACTACTCTTTTAATATTTGCATTATTTAATGCATATTAATAGACACTTTTAAATATAATTTCTTTGTCCAATTCTGGTTTATACATTGTATGCATTGTTTTCTTTGGCAGTTTCATATTTTATACCAAGGATTAAAAGAAGATAACATAGTATGCTTTTTATGTAAATTCGAGATATTCCATGTTTCTAGTTTTGCCTTAAGTTTGATTTACAGAATTACAATGGTTTCATCAGAATATAACAATATTTACATTATGGAATCATGCTTTCCTTACCTTTACTGGATCTAGACATTGATGGTTGTATTCCTTTGATGGATCCAAACAGTTTTTGTATTCATGTGCAAAATCATGACTTTTTGGCTCGATGTTTCCACTTTTTGTTTCAAAATCATTTGAAGAAGTATCATCAAAATTTCCGAATAATCCAAGTACCTAGAAACGAAAAGAAAATTACAATTTTTGATAAGATAAACATGTACCTCATTAATTAAGTACTGTCGAATGAATGGTTAATTTCAAATACATGACACAATTTATTTCGTTGAATGTTAAATTAGGATGGCTATTACTGTTTATAAGCTGAAAATTGATCCTATACAGTGAGACAAATTTGTTAATTGAAACACACATATTTCACTTGTTACGATCTGGTGTAAGTGCGTTTTGCAATACTAGGCATGTAAATATAAACAAATGAGTATTTACCTGGTTGTTAAATACACGATCAAGAAGCACGTACAGGTTTTGTTGGCCATCATAGAAAAGTTGGAATCCATATCCCCGGACCATAATAACGCTCGTTGTTGCCTGTTTGATGATCAGGTCTGGTGAGACGAACTTATCCGATCCTCGTTTTGGATTTAAAGCTTTACCATTTACAAATATTTCCTTCCCTCGTATGTTTACTTTGGTCGATTTGTATTTAAGAGACACTGACGCCATACAGTTTCGGTCGTAAACAGTGCTCGTAGTTGGGCACGAGTCGAATTTTACATTCACGGTTAAATCGGTTCTGCTATCTCCGTTTGAATTTCTTGGCTGAAATAGATATACATGTACCACAGAGATTATATCTTGTGTGAAAGTCCGATATCATTATAATTTGTATTCAAAACTATTAAAACGTCATTTATTTATTTTTTAATGTGCTTTTTGAGTGCTTTATATCTATTGTAAACAATACGAGTAGTCAGATACAGGACACAAAAACAAGATTCAAAATTGATACTGATTTCCTCGATTGACCAGATATGATGTTCAATACAGAAAAGATCAGAAAACGATATACTATTTTATGTCACAAAACATCTGTGTATGTTGTGCTAGCCGGTGCAGTTTTCAAAGAGTGAAAGTATTATTAAAGAGGTGATATTATTATGACGTCATCATACTCCACTGTTATGGCAAAGCTTAAAGCTAGTGGGATGTGATTGGTTTACAAGGGAAAGATTTTGACAACGTTCAACAAGGCAACAACTGTAATCAAAATTAAGTGCTTATAGATAATACACCTATTGAAGGACTGATCGAAAATGCCATCAAATTGAACGTCCTTTCATCTTTCATTACAGTATACTGGGAACAACTCGAAGCTAATGATGAGATGACATATACTTACATGACCGATTCGGGTATTATATAACTGTTGTTTTAATATTTGTTTCACCTGGAAGTTAGAATGTGTGGATAACTAAATGTTCCCGCAAACTCAATATTCCTCTGATAGTGGTATGAACTTACCTCAATAAAAACGTAGGAACACGAGGATGGCTCTAAGCTATAGTGCTTCCCATCAAATGTAGTTATGTGATTGAGACCGTTCATTCTCGCAATTCGGGAACACTCATGTTCCGTGCATGTCCACTTACCAAGATTGCATGTGCTGTCAAAATAATACAATCAATGTGCTACAACCCTCTTTTGATATACTACAGTTGTTGTACATTTACACTGAATTCAGGCACGGTTAGTAACAAAGTAAATAGCAAATAACAAAATAGCATTCATTGTATTCTGTAAAATGGAATTCATTTGCTATATAGACGGTACCATAAAGGTTATTTTTGATTGAAATTTGATCTAGGCCCTTGTTTGACAAATCTAATAAGCAAGAATAAACACATCACTGTGATACTGAACTATCGTTGGGATTTGTAACGGCTATTCCTATTGTAAATACATTGAATTCAGCATATTCCGTCTTTGCGTATTGCAGAGTTATCTTTTCTTGGGAGCAGGTATTGATTGTTACGTCATTGGTTTGTGTGATAAAACTACGTCGTTTTCTCAAAAATTGATGACGTTACTCTCACAAACAAGTGACGTAACAATTAATACCTGCTCCCAAGAGAAGATAACTCTGCAGTATGCAAAGACGGAATATTGTAATTTGTGTTCCTGGATTTAATGTAGTCCCGACATCATTGTTTTCAATTGACGGAATAACATTCATAGTTTTCGTTTTCACAAATGGGGAAACAGTATGGTTGTTTCAAAAGTATTGATTAATGTTATAAGACAGCAAAAAAATAATTTTGTGCGATAGTACATACTGGGAAGTCAGTTGTATCATGCTAAGTTATTTTAGCCACAAATAAAACAAGCAAATAGACAATAATATAACAAATAAATAAATACAAGTGTGTAGACGCCTATCCTACTTCAGACATGACTACGTAACCCTACCGTCTATATTACGTCACATAATTAAATTCGTCCCAGTACAGCTTAACACCCCCGGGGGATTAAAATAACATTCATGAGATCTATACTGAATTTTAATACCGCGACAGGAAATTGCCTTCACGAGAAGCTATGCTGTATCAAATCGAGTATAATCATCACTTATCCTATGGTAACTGCTTATAAAATTAATTAAGTATGTTTAAATTGTAATAAAGTATATAAAAAAAATTAAAATAAACGGTCGACCAAAGATTGTGCTTTAAATCCGTACATGATATCAATATTAACTACCTTTCTGTTGTGTGTGCGTTCTGATGCAGTCATTTTGTTTACATAAAAGTGCAACATTGTTTTATATTGGTTGTAAATGTTGTTTTATTCAGCATTTCACTTCTAGTTAATGCCCTTTTCGTGAATGTGATTTAAATAACTCAATTACCAAAAATTGACAGCACTTGCATAGATAATTGCAGATAAAAGAACTGTCCTTATAGTATTGGCTTAAGTGCAAATATATACTTTTCGTTATATACATGTTATTTACATTATTATATACTGAATGGATGAAGAAACGCAGGATAAAACGAAATATGCAACTATTATTTAACTGCTTGGCCTTAAATTATGCACTCAACTATTTTTCGTCCGGACGGTCGACGTCGTGTGGAACGCTTTGTCGACGCTTGCGTTCTTGAGAGGAATAGGTTTGGGAAGGGATATATCACGGGATCAGTCACCGTTGATTGTGGTAGCCGGGAATTTAACGGCCGTAAGATATAGGGATGAAATCTTCCGCCCGGTTGCAGTTTTATTTGTGCAACATCATCACCTACTTTTCCAGCAGGATGAAGTCCGGCTCCATGTAGTTTGTAAACATTTCTCGCAAACATTAATCTACTCGACTGGCCGCCGTACAATCTAAATTTGTCGCAAATCGACATGTATGGGTTGGACTTGACAGGAGGGTACGGGGGCGTCGGAATGACCCGGCTGCTCTCGACCAAATAAATGCTGAACTCTATGCACATGATAATCAGGGATTTGACAGATGCGCGAGTGTGGGTGGCGGAGGGCATACGAGATAATGACGAGTCAGTCGATTTTACTTTGCTACATCAGATGGAACTGTCAAATGTTCTTCCAATACTCTTGAATTATCAGTCAAAACCTAATGATATTGTGGTTATTTGTTTATTTAAGATGATGTTTTATGCTTAATTAAAACAATTGTATGTACCATTCAAATACATAACTTTAAATCACCTCAGATGTTTACTCTTCGCTTATTTATCCTTTCTGTATATTTATTACTCACCAGGAATTGCAGTCTACTTTTATGGTTTCACTGGGTTCGTATGTCCTTCGATTGTATTGACATTTACATTCGCTGAGTGAAACACAATTGCCATCTTGGAGTACTTTGTTACGTGGACATTCGCATCCAGATACACACTCTGTTGTCTCCTTCGAACATGAATCGGAAACTTCAACGAATACGTTGTTGCAGGTGCGCGGACAGAACGAACCACATTCGGTATATATGAAACCAGAAGGGCACGATTTTGCTGTAAGTACAAAAAAGTTTGGTATTATTTCAATGCTACATTTTGTATGATTATTTAACTGTAAAAAACATTAAATAAATCAAGAGACAACTACACTGTAGTACGTTAGCACACGCTTATATTCCCAAACAACCAACAAACCTTTAATAATAATAATAATAATAATAAAAATTCGAGGTTCTTATATACCGCTTTATTACAACCTAGTTCGTAGGTCGTCTCAGAGCGGTTAACAAATTATTATATCAGATGTTATATAATTGCTTTGAGTGACGTCATGTTTAAATATACGTTAACAGTAAAGCTATTAATATTACAGCAAATTGTGTTTCTCTAGTGGTTTTATTGTATGTCGTTGAAGCAAAACGTATGGCAGTTTTTAGCAATAAAAACGAAATACATGACATGTATTCTAAATTCGAACGTCATCTTCCTCCATTCGTTGTTGTTTTAGTAGCATACTGTGGCATATCTCTAATAGGGAATAATGGATGTTTCCTACAGCTCTGGTTTTCTTAGATTTAATTTTTCTTTCGTTAAAAACCTATTTTACACAGCTTAATATGTAGACGATCAACTTTTTAATGTAACACAGAGGTAAACTTTCTTTTCCTTCAAACAACCCGTAGATTTTGACATTTAATTAGAGTGAGTGAGAAAAGAAACACATGTCTCTGTTATCTAAATTTAGGCAGCGTCGTTTACATCCAAAACAGTAACATGATTTACTTTAGTTCATATTAGGTTCGCTTTTATGATTTTTTTTTTTGTGGGCATCAACTTATCCAAAATAATTTTGTATATACAGCAAATGTTTTATGGTGGGTCCATCCTTTTTTAAAAACCCATGTAATTTTTTTTCTAATTAGGCTTATTTTCTTGCATGTTTTACGTAGATTCCATATATGAAAAGAAAAAAAGGGGGTTCTCGACTTACTCTTTGAGATATTTCCGCTGTAAGGTAGCTACTTTTCTGCAAATTTCCCCCAAAAGGTGAAAATTAAGTAAAAAATTGTTTTCTATAATATTTACAAAATTTAAGTTACAACAAAGTTGAATAATTTTTACACATCTCGTGATGTACTATCAAAAGCAGAAATAAAACAAAAATGATTATATTTGGTATATTTATGCATTTTTCATGGCCATCTATTCTCTTCAAAATGCAATTTTAACAAATTTACATCGAACGAATGCATTAAAAACAAGCCAAAATGCGATCAAAACCCATGTCAATTTTATAAAACTTTTACAAAAGACAGCCAGGTATATATGATTTTCGGTAAGCATAAAAAATGTGGGGTTCCCTTTGAACATTTTGCAATTCCGCTCACTTGAAGTTAGAACTCCATTCCCCCACCCCATTTTGTCTATTCCTATTTCAATGCGTAAAAGGCAAAAATATGTCATTTTATTATCCATACCGTCACAAATATAATACTTTATCGTGTCCCACACTTATATTTGATATACATTAAAATTAAATAGCATTAATGCTCGGAACTTAAATAAAAATCAATTTTTCGAAGTTCCGATTCGTATTCCGGATCGATATATCTTTGGATCGCCTCCGGGTCTGGTTTTATACACGAAATTATATTTCCGTACACAATGTTAGCGCACCATTCCAAACGTGTTGTGCTTGATTTCACTGTTTGTTGTGTAGTTCCTGTATATTTGCTACCATAACCTAGTCTACATCTAATTATTGTTGTATATTTATCGTACCATAGACAATAGAGCTCAAAACACAGTGTTACAGACGGACGAGCGGAATATGTCGTTTCCGCGATACAGGTTTCCGGAACTAAAAATAAGTTTCGCAAATTATTTTGGTCATATGTCTTACACTTTTTGTATACACTGAGAATTAAATACTTCTGAAATTCAAAATGTTTTAAAATCTGATTTTAATTTATGACAATTCAATGTATAGATGTAAACAATTACATATTCCTGTTACACTGTGTTTTCATACATTCGAGCACTTGTCTACCTTGTTATTACTCTTTTGGTCACACAGAGCATATCTACAGGCTGTTAAAGCAGTTCCAGTAGTATAGTTCACAGCAAGTGATAGCATAACTTGAGGACATCACATGTCATGCTAAGATCTAGACAGGACAGAGTAACAAACTAAAATAATATCATGCATCAGAATCAGTAGTAGAGGGATCAACGAATACCATCCCCAGTTACACATCTCTAAGACAGCTCCCAAAGTATACATTAATGTACAAAGTTTTTACTTTTTAGATTTAATATTTTTTTCACTTTTTGAGATGCACTGAGTCAAATACAATCAATCCGAGGGGAAAAAATTATAGTTCCCAGTGTGGGATTCTGAGACTACATGTAATATGAGGAGGAGCCTGGAGGTGGGGAGGTGGTTGCACATTTACAATTTACTTGTGTGTGTGGGGGGGG